GAAGGAAGGAAGGAAAAAGAAGGAAAGAAAGAAAAGGAAGGAAGGAAGGAAGAAGGAAGGAAAGAAAGAGAAGGAGGGAAGGAGAAGGAAGGAAAGAGAAGGAAGGAAGGAAAAAGAAGGAAAGAAGAAAGAGAAGGAAGGAAAGAAAGAGAAGGAAGGAAGGAAAGAGAAGGAAGAAAGGAAAGAGAAGGAAGGAAGGAAAAAGAAGGAAAGAAAGAGAAGGAAGGAAGGAAGAAGGAAGAAAAGGAAGGAAGGAAAGAGAAGGAAAGAAGGAGCTGTTCAATTTTCAGGATTTCAAGCCATCAATCAGAATAGAGCTGGAAGGGACCTTGGAGGACATCTAGTCTAACCTCCTGCCCAAACAGGAGACCCCACGCCATTTCAGAGGCTGTCCAGTCTCTTCTTCGAAACCTCCACCGTTGGAGCACCCACGACTTCTGGTGGCAGGCTGTCCCAGGGGTTAATTGCCTTCCCCGTTAGGACGTTTCTCCTGAATTCCAGGTTGCTTCCCTGCTTGGTGGGGAATTTCCACCCGGGGGGCTCTTTCCCCTTTGTACATCCTGTCTGAAGCAGCCTTCCTTCGAAGAAGCTTACAAAGTGTAAGGCAGTTTTAGGAGATTCGTATGAAGGAAGGGCACAAAAACGGGATTGGGGTGGAAGATCTGAACGTTTTAATCCAAGTAAATAGAATACTTCCCAAATGCGAAAATATTTCCCTTATTGTCTACCATCCAACAAGTGAATATGCACAGAAACCTGGGATGTAACACTTCATCCTCCCAAATTTTGTAATATACAAAATAGGATAGAAAAAACTATTAACAACACGGAACCAGACAGCTACCCTTGCATTTTCCCTTTCCTACGAGAATAAAAATCTAACCGAATCTAGGGCTACTTTGCAGTCGAATCCTGGTATTTTCAAGTATGTTTCAAAAAGCAGTATTGAAATCTGAGCACGGAAGATCCCCACTCTTTGCTTCTCCTTCTTCTTCTTCTTCTTCATCATTTTTTAAATTAGACCACCAAAGTAACACTGGCAACGTACGGGGCGTGTTAGCAACGTAAAATCGTTGCCCAACTGGTATTATTATTATTATTATTATTTTTAAAGCTGAACAACAGAGGGGAGGAAAATCTCAATTTGGAAAGGAAGGCAAAACATCGTTTGGAAATTAAAGCTCTTCGTGGTAGAAACTTTTGTCGTGGAGTTGTCGGCCGTAATCGGTGGCTTCGCTGTTGAGGAAGAGGTCTTGGTTTTCAAGGATTTCGTTGGCGGAAAGTCTCCGGTCTCCGTCCAAGTCCATCTCGTCAAGAAGGTGAATAGCCTAGAAGATAAATTTAACAATTGGGTTGAATAGGGAACTTGGCCGTATTAACTTAGACCAGGGGCCTCCAAGACTTGTAGACTTCAACTCCCAGAGTTCCTCAGCCAGCAAAGAGAAGAGAAGAGAAGAGGATATTGAAAGAATAGAATAAGAAATAATAGAATAGAAAATAGAATAGAATATTGAAAGAATAGAATAAGAAATAACAGAATAGAAAATAGAATAGAATGAGAAAGAATAGGAAATAATAGAATAGAATGAGAATAGAATAGAATAGAATAGAATAGAATAGAATAGAATAGAATAGAATATTGAAAGAACAGAATA